AGGTCGCTAAGGCGCTGAGAACCTCCGGAGGCTCTCGACCCTCGTTCCGGAGGCTCCGGAGGGCCTCCGTGTGCGCCCACATGCGTGTCCGCGGCGGGCGGCGACGTGCCCGGCCATCAACCGCGCCGCGCCGCCGCGTGTGAGTCGCGCCTCCCGTCTCGCGTGTCGTGCTCGCCGTCTCCGACGACGACCTCGCTCCCCGCCCGTCCCTATGTAGCCACCCCCACAATGTATATATCATTGAAATCGTAAAAATTATGCGCCCTGTAGCGCGCATACACTGTACCCCGAAAATCTTGCAATCACGCAGTATGTCAAGAAACATACAATACTTCATAGAAAGCCTGGGGCTATTGACACAGGTCATACGGCTTGCAGGTAAATATGCAGACATTCAGCGGCGTGTTATTACGGTACCTTTGCTAGTTGGTACAGTTGTACCTCACTACAAAGCTGTATAAACGCCTGACAATTCTAAGATGATCATCAGGCTTGGGGTTGTAAGCCAGTGCACTGAGAGGCTCCCCATACTACATCTTACTCAAAGCGCTGTGAGTTCAGCGATGTAGATAAACAGCTCCGAAGTGTCTCTGCCTCAGAGGTAGTGGCACATAGCCTACAGGTACATAGTAGTTACCACATCCAGAGCCTAGAGTCTAGCCCTTGCTCAGGTGTTCTGAATGCATATATGCGCTAGGATCTTGGCTCAGGATGCTCAGTATGTATCCCCTAAGTATAGAGAGAAGTTTGAATAGTATTTGTGGGGAGGTGGGCGAGGGGTGCCGGGGAGAGGTGCACGACAGGCGACCAAGTGCCTGTATGCGTCTTGCCGCGGCATGAGCAATTGTGACCTAGACACGTCTGGCTCCTCCGAAGCAACCACCCGTCCGTTCGTGTCCAATTTTTCGCAGAAACAGGCGGGCATGCTTCAAGATACGCCATGAACTTTTGCGACGGGAGAAGCTCTCCAGATCAAGCAGTCCGAAAGGGTATACGATGCAACGCACCACATTTGGAAGGTGCTTCGTGCGCGTCGACTCTAGATCACCTCGCTACGCAATTGCTATCCCACTTCTCGATCTAAAAATTACATAGACATCTTCGTATGACATACGCTCGTGCGCCTAAGTGGTCAAAGTGGAGGGGACGGCCT